GCACCCAGTATGATTGGAGGAACTTTTCCTCACACATTCTGCCTCTATATATGCTTGGTCATCGCTGTGATTGAACTTCCCTTAACTTTTGGGAGGCTTTCAAGCACAATATTTGTCCAATGGCCCCATGTATTTTGAGCACTGGCGTTCTTGTAACAAAGGTATAGATGCACAGGAAGTTGTGACCTAATGACCGGTTTGCAATACGGGAGTCTTTGGATATGTGGCTGTCATCCATTTGATGGACATGGCGAAGCCAGTGTAGACACATTGACTTTGCAATAAATGTATGCTGATGAAGTTGACTTGCTCCAGCATCTCTAAGGTGGTGACCTGCCTCTGCATAGAGTTCCTGGCGATAAATCTGAGATTGAATCAATACAGTGTGGAGCTGGAGGAACACAGCAGGTCAGGTAGCATCAGAGGAGCAGGAAATTCGCTGCTTCGGGTTTACACCCTTTATCAGAAGTGATGGATGTCAACCCAAAGCGTCGACTTTCCTGCTCCTCGAATGCTGCCTGACCTGCTGTGTTCCTCCAGCTCCACACTGTATTGACTCTGACTCCAGCATCTGCAGTTCTTGCTATCACCGAGAATCTGAGACTGGAGATGGAAACTGTTCAGCTTCTTCTCCGCCCTTGAATGAGCAGTAAATGCTTTGTTCGTGGCATCTGTGTCCTAAGAATGAATATATGAGATGAAAACAAAGCAGACTTGAGCAAACAACAGTTGTTTGTATAATTTTTATTGATACTGAATAATTAATTTGCTATGATAACTATTTAAGTATCATTGAGTAAGTAACATTGTGAGTTTTTAGATTTATTGTGTGAAGTAATTAGAATATTTATAGCAATGTGGTATCTAATTCATCATCCTTATGATGGCGCATGGCTTGTGTTACTGCTTGTGATTTTACCTGATCGATCATACTGTGGAGATAATTTGGGGTAATTCTCTGAGTATCTTTACGTTGTGCTGACTATATTTGCATGTTTTAGAAGCTGTGGAATCAGACCGTCCAGTTGTCACAGCTGACTCACTGTTGGGTGTGGTATCTTGTAATTTAAATCATGCTGTTACATGTCTTTATGATCTCTGCTTGTCTGTGTGAAATTTGTTGAATAATATCGAATTCTTCCTTGTTCTGTGTTAGCAAATAGAGGTTTGCACCTGCCATGGGATGAGTCTGCAGTGGGCGTAGCTCCTAAGCTCATCTGCACCACCTTGTGGTTATTCTGAAATATGACCTTGTGCTACGTTGTCTTTTAATTTGATACCGGGAAATATTTCTGCAGATGGTTGTCTGAATAATTAATCAATGATGGTGTCTCTTTGTCTCAGTTATTTGCAAATTCAGATGTTCTGGTCAATATCTTGCAGAATTATTTTTGTGTATTTCAGATGATGATGCTGTCTTATAGCATGAGGAAGCTGTCGCTCCCAGCTTTATTATTCTGATAGTATCCTTGTTTTGTCAGCATGCTTTCTGATTTTCAAGTCCTGAATTTTTTTTCCAAAGTTGAGACTTGTTCAAATGCATTACTGCTAATGTGTACAACAGAGCCACTCTCTGCGTAAAGAGATGACCAATTTGCAGGTGGTTCAGTAAATATAAAGAATTTCGTAAGAGATCCAGATGCAAAACATTGCAGTTTTCTGAATGATTTGTCAAGAAATGTCACAGGACTCGGAACTTTAACTCTCTTCCTCTCTCCACATATGCTGCCAGACCTCCTCAAGTTTCTCCAAGACATACTTGAAGCCTGTTTGATGTTCCTACCAACTGATGCAGTCTTTCCTCTCCATATGTTTGTACATAGGTATCATGTCGAGACAATTTATTCATCTGCTTCCCCCAGACCCATTCTCCCCATCTTTTTTCCTTTATCACTGAACACTCAATGAGCTATCCCAGTGATGATTTATGAATAAAGTACACATGGAATATTACAGAATGAAAAATCATTGCTCCATACATTTTATGTGTTTTGTAATATATATTATTTGTATAATTTGAAAGTGGAACAAGTAATAATCCAGAGCAATAACACAACGATGGCTGCATTTCAGAACTATTTCGTTGGCAACAAAAGTGTTCATCTTGAGTTTGTGGAATCTATGAATACATACATTTGGTTAGAAACAAAGAAATGGTATCTCCTTAGAAAGTTGCAGTTTGTTTGTGACAGCTTCAGTTTGATGCAGCAGTTTCACTTTGCAGAGATTATGCAATGGTTGTCTGAAACCAGCCAAACTTTGATGTATGAGTCTGTGTTGATTACGGTTGTGTTTCTCTAGACTTTTCCTACAGTGTTTGTGAAGATATATTTCAGAGAAATGCAAAAGCCATTCTCAAAGGTTCACCTCCATGTGTGTTAGGTTATATTATGGTGGGTGTTATCTTTGGTCACCAGGATAAACCTGAAATAATCATCTTTGGCAGAGGAGAATAAAGTCTTGACATCCGGCTAGACCTTGTGATAGATGGTTAAACCAGTTGTGCAACAGACACGTGTATTTTTATCGCTCAAGAACTCCTTTGGCCTAGCATTTCGGATTCCTTTAAGCACTTTGAACCTTTCTTCTTAAATTCCTTATGTGAGTGCAAGACAATCATTCTCCTTTTTTCTCTGCATCAAATGCCTATGTCAGTGCATGCTTTTGTCAGATGCAGTCCTGATTAGACTAATGGGGGTCTCATAAACTTTAGTACTTGAAGTTATTGCTTCTTTGTTTTTCTATCTGCAAAACTGCCAAGGCTAAAAGTTCTTGTTTTCCTGTTATTCAGGAAGCTTCATTGACATGAGGGCAGTTCTGTTGAGGGAGATTATCAGATTTCAAGTATTTAGCATTTCCAGTTTACTGCTTTCTATGATCAGCAAAACATCCCCTCCCGCACTGAATATTTAAGTGAGGAGCATTGAACCTGATGAAGCATTTTTTTGATGAAAATGGAACATTGTTGCTTTGGAAGCTGTATGGGAAATCACCTTCTGAGAGGTTGTAGACTTGCTTGCCAAGCCAGTGTGTTTGATTGCAGACGTTTTGTCACCCTGCTAGGTAACATCATCAGTGTGCCTAGGGTGAAGTGTTGTTGTTCTGTCCCACTTGTTATTTATATGCCTCAGTTTGTTGGGGTGGTTGACATTACTTTCAGTTCTGTTTTTCAGTAGTTTTGTATATTGGGTCCAGTTCAGTGTGTTTGTTGCTGGAGTACTGGTTGGAACGCCACGCCTCCAGGAATTCCCTGGCATGTCTCATTTTGGCTTGTGCTATTATGGATGTGTTGTCCCAGTCAAATTCATGTCCTTTGTTGGTGTGTCTTGAGACGAGTGAGAATTGGTCGTGTCTCTTGGTGGCTAGTTGGTGTTGGTGCATCCTTACTGTCAGTCGTCTTTCGGTTTGGCCTATGTAATGTTTCTCACAGTCCTTGCGTGGTGTTTTGTATATTATGTTAGTTTTATTGGTTGCGGGTATGGGATCCTTTACGTTCATCAGTAGCTGTCGCAGGGTGGTTGTTGGTTTGTGGACTACCCTGATACCTAGGGGTCTGAGTCGTCTTGTGGTCATCTCTGATATGTCGCTGATGTATGGTAGGGTGACTAATGTGTCTGGCCATGTCATGTCTTCTTGTTGTGGTCTGTCACAGAGGTAATGGTGGATTGTGCTTTTTGGGCATCCATTCCTTTTAAAAACTCCGTATAAGTGTTCTGGTCTGCTTTGCGCAATTCTGGGTTGCTGCAGTTGTGGCTCTTTTGAATAATGTCCTCATGCAGCTCCGTTGATGGATGTTGGGCTGGTTGCTGGCCTTGCATTATGTAGTCTTCAGAATGAAGATGATGATGATCTTGACCATTATTCTGATCACACTTAATTCATCAATTCCTGCTCTGTTGGTTCATCAGTACTTGCATGTGCTTACATGTGCACGCCCTCCACCATTGGCCACTTCCTCACCTGTTGCCTTCAGCTCTGGAACTTGCTGTTTAAAATTCCTTCTCTCCATCTCTCTTGGCTCCTTTTAAACTACCTGTAAACAAACTGTTGGCCATCTACCCTTGTATTGCCTTATGTTGTTCAGTGTTAATTTTGCTCTATAATAATTTTGTGTAGTGCTTTGAGACTTTATGATAAAAATTCTTGTCCTTGGGTTTATTGCAGATTAAAAATAAGAATATGGTCGTGTATAGGTTTCATCAAGACAAACTTTACTCTGCTCATTGAACATGGTTGTTGCTTGCTTCAATGGACTTGTCAAGTATTTTTCCTGTAGATTGTGACTAATTTTTATTTATAAAATTTTGGAATTGATGTAGCATACTCTCAAAAATAAATTCAGCTCCTTATAGTTAGTGTTTTCCCTCCTTAATTTAAACCTGAAGTATTCTTATTCTTCAAATATGTGTCAGTAATTATGTTGTTAGGCCATATTAATGACAAAGCTGTTCTCTTTGTCTGCAGATCATTGCACTCAAGATATCTTTGGAAAGAAAAGGGACCAAGCAGGTATCTCAATAATTAACGCTTCACTTCAGAACTGTCACCTGAAAAGTGTTTTCTAGATTGGTACCAGAGGGTTGTGCATTAGTGTAAAGTCATTGCTCTTGATCCTTTTCGATTGTTCTGTTTCAATATTTGATTTTTGTTCTTTATGATACAGTATTCTATTATTTAGTTATGTTGACAATGTTGGAGATCTTCATTCCCTTTGGAATCTGTTAGTGGAATCCTGTGCAGTCACTAATCCTGAATAATTACTTTAAATATGTCATTATAAGGAACACCAAGGTATCAGAATGTGATATGTTGAGCTCGCATTCTTAAAACTGATAAAAGTAAAATAACTTCTCACCAAACTAACTTGTGAACAATACATGTCATGACCTTGATTGGTACAGTGTGCTGGAAATCAAGCTGCACTATTCATCAGGTCATCGTAAGTGTGAAATAGGAGGAATGTAATCTTCATAATGGTTAATACCTGACTGTAACCACAATGTAAGATTAAAGAAATTCACACCAGATTTCATCAATGAAAAAGAAACAAACATACCCTGTAAGTTGTGGCAAAACCGACAATATATCGAAACTATATCCCTTTAAATCCAAGCACACTCGTTCATTCGCATGTGGAATGGACAAAACAGATGAGATCTACAGAATTTTCTCTCAGGAATGTCACTGATACAAAGTATAGACCAAAAAACAGCACAAACCCTGTCAATCAGAGTCCAAACTACGAAAGGAAATGAGCTAACTGTCTCTCAGTTCTTTTTTGGTTTATGGTGATGATATCACATTGTTGTCAATGTGGCAGTCTTCAGTTCTGCAGCAGGTGATTTGGACCTTTGTCTTGCCTTAATTTAGCAGTTCTTTTTTGAAAGTTTTTGTGGATTATTTGTTTTTCACTCACAGAGCGAACTTGCCGCAGGCCTTAAATCCCAACAGCCCTTTCTTTCCTCTTAATTCTGTGACAAACTGCACTAAAACCAATCCATATGCTATTGCAGGCGTTACTTTTTCACTTAAAGCCACCTGATGTCAGTGTGTCTCGCAAAAGTATCAAATGCAGCTTCTTCAAAAAAAAATTATGTTGATCGAATTGTGAAACAAAACAACTAATTTACAAATGTCTGTTTTCCGGTTTATGTTTCCAAACAAAATATGAGTGGCCGTTACAGCAGCGGTCTGATCAGGAATGTTGATGTTCACCATCTAAAGGAGAGATAGTGATGAAAAGGTATCTTCACCCTGAAGGTGCCATTTGGAACTGTTTTACATGTAAAACTGAAAAGGAGATGATTAATCTTGGGTGCTTGCAGGAAATGATCAGAATTTGACACCAGGCCAGAAAGGAGGTTTTCTGGGGGCAGCTGTCTAAAGTATTTATGGAAGAGAGAGATTTTGAAGGCCTTGTGTATGTGGAGGACAGGGGGTTGGTGATGGTAGTATTTGAGAAGGCTAATTTAAGATAATTGGCAGATACCACACATTTTTAATGCTACAGGGAATGAGCAGTGGAGCTAATTGGTTAACTGTACCAGTGTGATGGGCCAAATAATTCCCTTCAAAAGTCTCATCTTTTCTGCTGTCCCTTCTTTGAGATGATTCAGTGATTGCTTTTATAAATTTGGCTTAATTGTGACATCGGTTTGTAGCCAGACCTTGAGAAAAGAAATTAGGAAGCAGGTCTGAATATCAAAAGTTGCTAGAGAAGAGTGTTAGGAGTATGTAGTTCTGGCATGTGGGTGGGAGTTAGGATACAGATCAACTGTGATTTAATTGAATAGTAGGTAAGGCTTGAGGGGCTGAATAATCTACTCTTGTTTGTCTCTGTGTTCCTATGATTTCATGTTATTACTTAATACATACAGAGTTCTTATGCACAATCCTTTTCATTAATTAACAACCAATGCCTGTCAGATTAACTATTCATTATACCTAGGAATATGTTTTGCAAGGTAGAGGACACAATTTCCATGTCTTGCACATGCCTAACGCCTAACTTCTAACTTCTCTCCCTCCTCTCCTCCAGACAGACCTGACTCTCTCAAACCCTTTCCCAATGCCCCAAACCCCAGGGCCACGTTTACTGACCTACCTGATTCTGCACAACTGCTACAAGTAATTGAGAATTTTCTTAACTTGTAAACCTTTTTGTGTCTTGGGCTTTTAAAAGCCAAGTTAAAATTTACTGTACTTTTCATATTAACTGAGTTCCTTAATGCAAATAGTTAATCAGTTAAGTCCAAAACATTCTATTAGTTTTTAATAATTATTTGCTTTATCTGTATATTAAACTTTTGCAATTCAAGTCCACCCAGATCCTTCTGCAACTCAGTATTTTTTTTTAAACTATTCCTGTCAAAATTGACAATTTCACATTTTCCTACATTATAATTAAATTGCCAGATCTTTGTTGGCTCACTTAGCCTATCCATATCATTTTGTAGCGTTCTTTTGCCCTCCTCACAACTTATGTTCTGATTTATCTTTGTATTATCAATCCTTAGTCTCTCTCATCCAAGTCATTTGTATAACTTGTAAAATGTTGAGCTCTAGAACTGATCGTTGGGGCACACAATTCATTATATCTTGCCAAACACAAAATGACCGATTTATGCCTATTCTGTTTTCTATGAGCCAGCCAATCTTCTGCCCATGCAAAATGTTACATCCACACCATGAACTTTTATTTTCTGCCACAGCATTTGATGTGGCACTTTATAAAAGTATTTTCTGGAAATCCAAGCACAGTATGTTTATGGCTTTACTTTATCCACAATATACATTCACTGTTTTCCAATCTAAAGAAACCTTCTGGAATCTGGGGAATTTTGGCGACTTAAAACTTGAACATTAACTGTCTTACTAGCTAGTTCTTTTAAGACTACAAGGAAGTCCATCAGGACCGAGCGACTTGTCAATCTGCAGACTGAATCATTTACCCAATACAACTTCCCTGACTATTGTAATCTTCTTTAGTTCTTTTCGTCCTTTGACTTCCTGATTTTACAGCCGTTCTTTGGAAGCTCCTTCTATCCTCTACGGTGAATGCTGATGAAAAATACACATTGATTCATGTATCTGCCATTTTCCCTATTAATTCTCCAGATTCACTTTCTGAAGGACCAGCGCTCATTTTAACTTGGTGAAATATCGGTAGAAGCTCTTAATATCTGTTTTTATATTTCAAGCTCGTTTTCCCTGGACTCTAATTCTTCTCTTCCTTTTCATCTTTTTGTTAAACTCTGATGTTTTTATATTCTGTCCAATTTCACTGGGACCATTTCTGGGGAAGGTGGGACCTCTGCAAGCGGGACAGTCTACACCTGAACCAGAAATGGGACCAACATCCTTGCAAGAGTATTTGCTAGTGCTATTAGGGGGAGTTTAAACAAGCTCATTGGGGTAGAGGACACTGTGTTAGTTCAACAGCAGCACAGTACAACTTAGAAAAGGAACCAATGCAGAGCAAGTTCAGTCATATGGTGTCTCAAGACAGTAAGGTAAGGTTATGGGAAAGTGGGACTAGTGCAGGTAGGTGTTTATTTTTGGCAGTATAGACTTAATGAGCCGAAATATCTGTGCTGTATGATTCTGACATGTCACATATGTTTGCACCATTTTATACTTTTTCTTTAAGTTGATGCTGTCTTTACCCTTCTTTGTTCATGAAGGATGGTGGGTCTGCCCCTTAAAAATTTGCCTACTTGGTGGGATCGATCTAGTCTGTATTTTCTGAAAGAAATCCCTTAAATGTCTGCCACTGCATCACTGTTAACCTATTTCTTAAACAGTTTTGGCCATTCATTTTAGCCAGCTCTTCTTTCGTACCTGTGTAATTACCCTGATCTGAGGGCTTGGACTTTCTCCACTGTCCCTCAAATTGAATGTAAGATTCACATGATAATTGTAATGTTGCTTCCTTGGTGTGCCTTCATTACGAGATCATGTATTTAATCCTACCTTTGCAGCATACTGGGTATCACCTGCTCTCTGGTTGGTTCCAGAACATGCTGTTCTAAGAAACTAGCCCAGAAATATTGTGTGAACTCCTTGTCGAGGTTACATTGTCCATCTTTTTTTTTAGTCTTTTGAAAGATTAAAGCCTCCTTTGGTTATCATCACACCTTTCTGACAAGCTCCTGTGATTTACTTCTTTATACTGCATCCTACCTAATGGTTCCTGTTCAGGGGCTTGTACACCACTGCTACATGTGACTCCTTACTATTATCATTTCTCATCTCTACCCAAACCATTTATATGTTCTGCTTTTCTGAATTGAAATCATCCTTCTCTGTTGTACTAATTGCATGATTAATTAACACGGTCACCCCTCCACTTTTTCCTCTCTCTTTGTCCTTTCTGAATGTCTGACTCCCTCCAAATTCAGGTCCATATCTATGCAATGTTGCAGCCTGTGTTTTTACAATGGTGAGCAGAGTGCTTCTTTGCTTGTTTCTTTGCTTGTTTAGACAATACATTTACAGCACATCAGTTCTAAGTACAAGGCTGAAGCATATACACTTATCTTCAGTGGAAGTGCTGGGTGAACGATCCCTCTCTGCTGCCTCCTGAGATTCCCAGCCATTTCATACTCTGATATGAAGAAAAGGCTGAAGAAACTGAATACCGCAAGGACTGTCGGTCTTAACGTACTGGCAATAGTATTGAAAATTTGCAATCTGAAACTAGGTGTGCCCTTAGCAAATCTGTTCCAATACAGCTTCAACACTGGCATCTACAGGCTGTGTGGAAAACTGCATTGTATGCATCAGCGTATTTAAAAAGGATATATCGACAGTGGAGGCTTTTCAAAAGAGATTCTCTCGGCTGATTCCTGAGGTAAAGAGGTTGACTGATCAAGAATGCTGAACAGGTTAGGCAGGCCTTTATTTGTTCAAGTTTAGAAGAATGAGGAAATTTCTTATTGAAAAACAAGATTCTGAGGGGCCTTGACAGGATAGATGTTGAGAAGGTGTTTCCATCAGAAGGTGAATCTCAAAACGAGTTACAGAATAAGGGGCACTCATTTAAAACTGAGATGCAAAGGAATTTATTCTTCCAGAAAGTAGTGAATGTCCGGAATACTTTATCTCAGAGTGTGGAAGCTAGGTCACAAAGTATTTAAAGAAGTGATAGAAAAATTTTTGAAATAGCAAGAGTTTGAAGCCCATGCTGAGCTGGAATAAAATAAGAGTTGAGGGCGAGGGCAGATCAGCTATGATTTTATTGAATGGCCGGGCAGACATGAGGGCCCGACTGGCCCGCTGTTGCTCCTATTTCTTATGTTCTTTTAGGAATCTCCTACCCATGCAAAACAGGATAAACCCAACCTGGCCAATTATCGCTCCATCGGTTTACTCTCAGTCATCGACAAAGTGATGGAAGAGATCATTGACAGTGTTATCAAATTGATTTCCACAGCAATACCCTGCTCATTGATGCTCAGTTTGGGTTTTGCCAGGGCCATTCTGCTCCTTTGGCCCAAATATGGACAAAAGAGCTAAACTCAAAAGGTGAGGTGCAAATGACTTGACAACATTTGACTGAGTGAGGCATCAAGGACATGATGTAGCTTGCCATCACACACTTGTGCCACTTTGTTGCGGCTACCATAATGCACTCTCAAACCTTTTTATTTCCATCATGCAAGAAATGCAGTGGGCAATCAAAAATATTGAAAATGACTGAGTTAATAGCTTGCTCGATTACTCATTAATTAGTCATTTCAAAATGGCACACAATTTCTGTAACTGTTCACCTTCCAGATTTTGCGAGATTGGTGTGATGACACATATTTCTGACATGTCATCATATTTCAGGTTCACATGAAGAGCAGCACACTCAATTTGGGAGCATAAAGTCTAGTCCTGAGTGTGAAACTCTGCACCATACCTGATTGTACCCCTGGAAGTCTACCTTGGAATTTTTTTTTTCTGTTGCAATAAAGGAGCATTGCCAAGAAAGAGCAGTTTTTTGCAAATTCATGGTGCATCACATACCACTAAAAAAAAATGTCATTTACACTACTCATTGCTGTCAAGCTTTGTGAGTGTTTTTGGAATTAGTTATCCAGACGAGCAGATTTTATTCTATCAAATTCCTGACTTGTGCCATCGGAAATTACATTGACAAGGAACCCCAGCACCACCCAACAATTAAACTCATGAATGGATGATTGTGACATTTTATTGTAATGTTCAGATATTGAGTGTAATGAAGTTGACAAGTTTTGTTCCATTTTACAGAAGCTATTTGGAATAAAATTGGTTAGGGCTATTTATGATAGTATGGGCCACTGCTTCCTGTATGTTTCCCTCTGTGATCTCATTTCAAGCCTTGGAAATTATTGTGACCTTAAGGGAGAGCAGTGAGAGGGAGGACAGTTTTATAACTTTGTCAGACTTCTGTGGCAGTCACTGCTATGCCAAAGCTCATGACCCCTAAATTTGTGCTTGCGACCCCACTTAGAGTCCCAACCCACACTGGTATAGGAAAAACAACTGGCATTGACTTTGAATTTGTGGTTTGTCAGAAAAAGCAGTCGAACAGTTGCCATGTTATGACACCAGATGGTGCTCCAATTCAAGACCGTCACATTGTGAAGTAAAGACCAAAAATGCTAGATATCCTTACAACATCATCTCTGGAGAATTAAAAGGCAGAATTAACCCTCAGATTGATGTTTTTTTCCCTCAGAACCTACAGCATTGTTCCCTGGATGAACAGATCTCTGTTTGGATAACTACTGATGTTTCCTGCTCATTAAAATTTGATAATTTGAACACAGTGAAATTTTCAAATTAAAAACTGAAAATTTGCAAACATTGCTATTAAGTGGTAAAAATGCTTAAAATGCCAAATGATTGACTGTAAAATTAAATGGGAGAAATTGAAAAATAACAGGCCACGCATACATCATCATGGGGGTTTGTGCAAAAGGGAATCCTATGATCGGGGGGCATGAGTGATTTCATGACACATGGACTGAGACACAAAAGATTAATCTCGAGGAAATGTAACAGCAAAGAAGTTATTCGTACCTGGTATTCAAATATTCTATGTTCTTTCTGTATCCCCCCCCCATCTCTTCCAATGCAAAACTGACCTTGAAGCTGATACAGAAATATGGTCATTGTAAATTCACTTGGGTGAATACATGAATGTGGGCATTTCTGGATCCACACGACATAATAGTGACAGTGTGATAACGTCAAGTCATGGACAAGTAATCTCAGCCTTAGGCTGATGTTCTGGAGACATGGATTTGAATTTCATTGTAGCAGGTGATGAAATTTGAATTCAGTAAAAACTGAAAGCTAGTCTAATGGAGACCATGTAATAATTGCTGATTGTTGTAAGAAGCCAACTGGTTCATTAATATCCTTTAGGTAGGGAAATCTGCTATCCCTACCTGGTCTGGTCTGCGTGTATCTCCATTTTGGCAGCAATGTGACTGACTCTGACTCTGAAATGGCCTAGGAAGTCACTCATTTGCATGAAACCACCACAAAGTTTGATCGAAGTAATGAAATTGGTCAAACCACCCATCATCAACATGGGCACAAGGACAACAGCAGCAAACCCAGCACTGATGACACTGCACATTTCTCTGGTATAATTAGTACCTTTGGCTTGTCGTAGAATTGGTGCAGTTGTCTCACAGCAATCTGCAAGCTGTGACCTCTACCATCTGGATGAAGAAGGACTGTAGATGTGTGGGAACGCAACCACCTCATTGACGATAAGATGTAAGAGTAGAAGTCAGCCATTTTGTCCATAGAGTCAGCTCCACCATTCAATGAGATCATTTCTGATCTGATAATCCTCTACTTTCCTGCCTCTTTCTTGTAAATCTTGATTCCCTGGCTAATGAAAAATCTGTCTCAGCCTTGAATATACTTAATGACCCAGCCTTGACAGCCTTTTCCAGAAAAGAATACCACAGATTCACTACCCTCTGGGAGAAAAGAATCTTCCTTTTCTCTGTCTGAATTGTGCGACCCCTTTTTCTGAGATGATATCCTTTGGTCCTCGATTCTCGCACAAATGGGGAACAACCTCTTCACATCCATCTTAAGAATTCCCGAAGAATCTTGTATGTTTCAATCAGGTTGCTTCTCCTCTTCCTAAATTCCAGTACATTCAGTCCCAGCTAGTTCACCTTCTCCAAATAAGACTGGTATCTGGTATCAGCTTAGTGAACCTACTCTGGACTGCCTTTAGTGCCAGTAAATCTTTCTGTAAATAAGATGACCAAAACTATACTCCAACTGTGATCTGGTTGGTGCCTTTTATAGTTTTAGCAAGACCTCCCATTTTTCTACTCCATTCCCTTGGAAATAAAAGTCAACATTGCATTTGTCTTTCCTATTTCTCACTGAATTTGTATGCCGTCTACTTGTGATTCATGGACAAGGACTCCTAATAGCTCTGTTCTGTAACTTTCTTCTGCCTTTCTCTATTTAAATAATATTTACCTCCTCTCTTCTTCCTGCCAAAGTGCAGACTCACATAATATTCCATCTGACAAATTAATGTCCACTTGCTTAACCTACCTGTGACCCTTGGCAGACTTTTTGACATCCTCACCACTTGTCTTTCCACCTATTTCTTTGTCATCCGCAGACTTGGCTAAAGTACATTCACTTCCCTCATCAAGTCATGAAGAAATATTGTAAATATTTGTGGCCCCAGCATTCATCCTAAAAATGCTCCCTCTTTATCCCAATTCTCTCTCTTCTAGTACTCAGTCAATCCTCTACTCATGCTAATGTAGTACATCTAACACCATGGACTCTTATATTGTTAAGTAGTCTAATGTGTGGTACCTTATCAAATGCCTTCTAGAAATCCAAATATATTAAATCTATTGTTTTCCCTTTATCTATGCTGCTTGTTTTCTTCTAAGCAAGTTCTAGTAAATGTCAGGCATGATTTCCCCTTCGTGAAACCATACTTATTCGATTTGATCATATTATGTATTTCTAAATGCTCTGCAATTACATCCTTTATAGTGGACTTCAACAATTCATCAATAACAGATATTAAGTTAAGTGGCCTATAATTAGTATTTGTGTGCAACTGCCTGGATGTTTGGGTGATATAAAACTGCATGGTAGAACATAGAACATTA